AATTTTGGGCGGGTGATTGGTTACTGAATGATCAGCAGAGGACAAGAAGACCGAAAGATAGGAGATCGGACGGAAACGTTCACTGGCACCTGACGTTGTCAAAAAAAGACAGACGTATAGTGTGTCATGTGAATTTGTAAGTTTGTCTTATGTTACTGTTTAAAAAAAATGGGCAGGGCTTAATTATGAAAAGAGTGAGTGTATAATGATACCAAGAATTCTTAAAGAAAGTGGAATTGGTGAAAGTGTTTGCGGATCACAAATATCTTCTTAATGAAACAAGGGGAAATGCTTAAAAGTATGACAGTACATATCCATCATTTGACGTTATACATGTATTTAGATGCGGCGACTATCATAAACGCACATTGTTTAAAATCCGATATCTTGGAAAGTATACATCATATTCTTTTGAATTTTTCAGGTCTGATATGAAATGAACAAAGCTTCCATCATGTATAATTGTGTTGCTTTACGCCAATTTATAGCAATTTTATCAAAGTTGTGACATTACTTTTGGATCAAACCCCGTATAAAGGAAAAGAAATAAAGTGAACAAACTTAATCTGAATCAGGCAATTTGAAGAAAAGCATGATAAGGATCCATCATTAAGCTAATTCCAAACTTGATTTTTAAAAATCTTATTTTATACATGCATTATATGTAACTGAGTATTCAATTTCATTAATTAAGCAATGGATTGAAATATTCAATTTAATTTACAATTATCTATCAAATCACTGAATTTTGTTTTTAACTTTTTGTAATCTTAAACCTTTTATAAATCAGTTTGAAAAAAAAACGGGAGCAATAAAAGAAATGTTCCTTTTTACTTCGATTTTTAACGAGAAAACTCTACATTATTTATTAATCGTTTCCTTGATTATTTAAAGTAAAATCGATATGTTATCCTGTCAAAGTGTATTTTTTTAATCGTTTCTCTCTCTCTCTCTCTCTCTCTCTCTCTCTCTCTCTCTCTCTCTCTCTCTCTCTCTCTCTCTCTCGATTTTTGGAGAAATAAAAATCACAAAAAATACAAAAACTTGATTTTTTTTTCAAATTAATAGCAGTTCTACGCCAGTGCATTGACTCTATTTCCAATTATTTATTTGAAATTCATAAGATGAATATTACCTTGCAAGAAAATTACTAATGGATATATTAACCAACGATATATTCAACAAAATAGATTTCTGTACCCACATGTATACAATGTAATTACACAGTAGTGTTTGTACACAGTTTAGAAGTACAGTCTATTCAGTGCATTTTTCTATATTGTATATTGTGAACATTCACGGAAGTTTGACAACAGTAATAATGTTAAATTTAAAACTGTCTATTATACTGAAGGAAACAAATCTATTCGAGTTCGATATTTGATATTATAGAGATATAAACCGAAACTGAATGTGGGGAAAAACGTGTCCATAAAAAAGAATTCAATTTTGACATTTTTTTTTAAATCAACCGATCCTTCTGGTCCTTATAGATGTCCTAGTAGCACTTACACACGATTATTACAGTGTACTTTTTTTCTATTCAGAAGTTGAATTCAAAGGTGAAAAGCAAAAATAAATAAATAAATCAAAAAATGGACTGGTACATGTATGATATCATCACGTGTGTTAACTGGAATCTGAAAGCATTATAGAACAAAAATCTTTAAAAAATATCTGCACATTAAAAACATTTTTAACCAAGCTTCTTCAGAGAGTCACCCGCTAAGGATTGACCTCAAAATATTTGGGAGTCCTCCTTAGGTGATAGGGAATTGTGGTATAGAATGTCATTGCAAAAGCTCAAAGGCTTCTCGAGATAACACGTGGAAAAGAAAATGACAGGATTTTTAAATTCATGTCCTTGACCTTTGACCTTAAAATCAATAGGGGTCTTCCTTAGACCACAGGGAGTTGTGTAAACTTTCATTGCAAAAGCTAAAAGGCTTCTTGAGATCACGCGTGGAAACAAAAGTGTTACAGACAAACAGAAATACTGATAAACAGACGGACGGACAGACAGACAGATATGCAGGCAGAGATTAACATCCCCCCACTTTCAGAGGGGGACAAAAATCTAAACAAAAAATAGATTAAAAACGAAAAGAGCCCATTGAGTAAGTTATTTATCCAAAATTCATGTAATATTAATATTTAAATGCAGTTAATTTATTCAAAAAACACTACATATACGGTATTCTGAAGCCGGGAGCCACTTCATTGACCTAGTTTTTCTCTAGCAATGACCTTCAGCTTTTCTAACGGAAGCTTGACCCTGAATCACTTACCCTTTCGACAAGTTGGAAAGTGTATTTGATATTTTATTCTAATTAAGTTACAGAAACAGACAGAATTTCATTCTTATCATGCACAAATTTTGCTTTCGACATATTAAATTTATTGTGAAGGACACTTCATGTCTTAAAACCTTTTTCTCCTGACCTTGGGTCATGTAATTCATTGTTTTCATCATGATCCACAGATATAGTATATGTTGATGAGGTGCTTATGAACCAATATATAATTTTACCTGAATTTATAATCTGTCCACTTGTACCATTACCATAACAGCCTAATCCATGATCCTTACTCTTTTACCATTACCCTCACAGCTTAAGCCCTGACCCTAGCTCTTGAACTATAACACTAACAGCCTAATCCCAGACCCTTACTCTTGTATCATTACCCTAACGGCTTAAGCCCCAACCCTAACTCTTGTACATTACCCTAACACCATGAACCGTTACGCTTACTCTTGTACCAATACCCTAACAGCCTAAGCTCTAACCCTAATTCTTGTATCATTACCCTAACACCTTACGCCGTAACCATAACTCTTGCACCTTAACCCTAACAGCCTACACTAACCCTAACCCTTTCACCATAACCCTAACACCATGAGTCCTAACCCTAACTCTTGCCTACACGAACCCTAACTCTTGCATCATAACCCTAACAGCATAACCCTAACCGTAACCCTACTCTAGAACCATAACCATAGAACCATAACCCTCACTCCTAAAGCCCTAACCCTAACTCTTGCACCATAAACCTAAGAGCATAATCCTCTTTTACCATAACCATAACACATTTAGCGCTTACCCTAACTCTTGCACCATAACCCTAACAGCCTAACCCTAACTCTAACTCTTGCACCATAACCTAAGCAACCTAGCAGCCTAAGCCCTGACCCTAACTCCTAAACAATAACCCTAACAACCTAACCCTAACTCTTTTATCATAACTCTAACACATTAAGCTCTAACCTAACACTTGCACCAGAACCCTTACAGCCCTAGCCCTCACTCTAACTCTTGTAACATAACCCTTGCAGCCTAAGCCCATATCCTAGCTCTATAACCCTAACAACCTTACCCTAACTCTAATGCTTGCACCAGAACCCTAATAACTTAGCCTCTACCCTAACTCTTGCACCATAACCCTAACAGCATTAGCCCCTACCCTAACTGTTTTACCATAGCCCTAACAATCCAAGCCTTAACCCTAACTCTTGCACCATAACCCTTACAGCTTAAGTCTTAACCCTTACTCTTGTACCATAACCCTAACAGCCTTAACCCTAACATTTCCTCTTGCACCATAACCCAAACAGCTTAAACCTTAACCCGAACAGCTTACAAAACCTAACTCTTACTTTTACACCAAAACCCTTACAGCTTAAGCCCTCACCCAAACTCTTGTACTAAAACCCTACCAGCTTTAGCCTTAACCCCTACTCACTCTTGCCCTATAACCCTGACAGTTTAAGTTCTAATCCTTACTATTTTACAATAACTCTAACAGCTTAAGCCCTGACCCTAACTCTTGCACCATAACCCTAACAGCTTAAGCCCTGACAATGACTCTTGCACCATAATCCTAACATCCGAAGCCCAAACCCTTACTCTAAACCCACCCCTCAGCATAGTTCTGCTCGTTTATTATGTCTACATGCAAGATAATTATGTCGTCATGCAACTAATGCGAATTAACTATATCAACTTGCTGATATTCTTTTTCTGTTTCATCAACTTGTTTGTCAATAATTTACCTCGTTTTAGAAATTGTTCATTCGTAGAGCATGCTCTTGCGTATCGAATCAACTGAGATATATAAACGCTGTATGCAGGTGATGAAGGTATATTGCTGCATAAGTAAGGGAAGTTGACGATAAAAAAAGTTAAATTCATCACGTTTATCATACAGCTTGATTGTTAGATTACCATTAACGTCTTTTTCAAGTAAATATCCAAGTATGAAACAGATGTGTCAGATTCTGTGATATCTTTTATCTCAAGCTCACCAGGATATATAGTATCAACATAGGAATGGAAATTACCATTGTTAATTGACAATACGTCGTTGATATGTCTAAATGTTGAGTTAAAGGCCACAATAAGTGTTTTCTTCTTTTCACGCATAATATTTTGCACACATTCTGCTTCATATGAATACAAAGATAGATCTGCTAATAACGGAGCGCAATTGATACCACTTTTACATGTATCTTATCTAAATAAGTGGCATATCAACTTAATCATCTCACATCTTGACAAACATATCTTGCATGTTACTGAGTAACAGAATTCACTCATATGATAACATAAATGAGTCGCATGTTAACATTAATAAGCTGCATCTTTTCGAAATAATTAAATAAGTTGCAAGTCAACAAAACTAAACTGCATGTTAATATAAATGTTGTATCTTGGCTCTATGATCAGACCCTAATAGTATATCGGCCTTGGCACATGTGTTTTAGACTTTAGGCTAAGACAGCTTCAAGGAGCAAGATCTGTATTGCCATAGGGGTACTTGCCCATTTAGATTTCAAAATTTAACATCAAGTCCAATGGCATCCTTTAGATTTGATCTTTTCTAACACTTTATTTTATCTACACATGTATTCTGTATTTTTTTTTATATAATAGAAGGACAACCGTTATTCAATTCGGGTTATAAATTATTTCTTTTCTAATCTTTCTTGATTTTTTTAAAACAGGATTAGATCCGTGCACGACAAACGATTTACTGAGATTTCAAGAGAAAAGATGTCTTTCTAATCAACTTCAGCCTAGAGACATCGGCCTTTGTGATAATTTTATCCCGGAACAATGGTACAGAGTGGACGACGGCGCAGATATACCAACATCATGTCCATCTATGCTTCAGTGTGGAACCGTCTTTCCCGTGTGGATGTTCGGTAAGACTTTACTTTAAGATAACTATTTTTGGAAATTTCGTTTGAATGCCAACTCTGTTATGCAAGTTGAAGATTTAGACTTCATTTTAATTAATGTTTTGCCCTTTTCTTAATATTTTCCAATCAAGAATCTAGAAAAGAACTTTAAATAGCTAAAACGTTTGAAAGCAACATTTTTCTCTAATTTTACACTACTTGCCATTTTATGCTTTACAATTTCTCTTTAAAGGCACTGTTCCGTCCGTTTCTGATGGCATGGTGTTTCGCACGGCCTGCTTGACTGACTATAATGGCTGTTGTTCCAGAAATTGGACCATACACGTTAAGAACTGTGGAAGCTACAGGGTTTACCATCTCAAACAGACAGACGCCTGCTCCAGTGCTTATTGCGTTGGTATGGTATCAAAACGTGATAAACAACACGATATAGTAGAACTCTTTTATTCCTTGAATGTCCTCAAAAACTTTATGTTTGACATTTTATGCATTCCTGCATTTGATCTTAAATTAAATTTTAATCACCCTCAAGATCCTAAACAATGTTTTATATCTATTCTTTTTAACTTAAAATAGAAGACTCTTTTAAGATATAAAGATAAGTTTGATTGATATTTTGCTATTCACAGAAAAGAGAATCAACATTACAACACAAGAATCAAGCTCTTCTTCTTCCTCTTCTTCGTCGTCCTCAGAAGAGGTAACCTCATCTAGCACAGGGACAGCTAGAGAGGGCGTGGTTAGTGACGTCACGACTACAGAATCAACAACAACAGGACGCATGACAACATTCATTTCTCAGTCTACAACGGTGAAAACAGCAACTTCCACAAGACAGTCAAATTCTTCACAAACAACTGTATCTGTTGCTGAAACCCAGGGCGTTGGTAAGCAGATTTTATTTGATTTTATAAGTACCTAAAACAACCATGATTGAGGTGTTTTGAATGAAAAAAAAATTAACGTCCCTTTGGGGGGGGGAATGAAATTTACTTTTTATGCTCTTTCTAATAGTTACGCATTCAAAATAATATTGTTATTAAGCCCGAGTCGAACTCTATAAATACTTTGATAATGAATTCAAACGATTCTACAAACTCAGAGAAGAAAAACAACATTACAACAACGTATTTCTTCTACTGAAACCCAAGGCGATAGTTTTTAGGTTTTTTAAAAAAAAATATTTCAAATGATGCTAAATGACAAATAAACGTATGAATGAAAAGAAATTGCAGCTTTTAAAGTTTGCTTCCTGTTTAAGACATCTTTATAATTAAAGGAGACACAGATCCAAATATTAAGAATGAACCTGATAAAGACTCTATAAAGACGTCTTCAACGAGTTCTACAGAAGCTACAAAATCACAAGGTATGCAACGTTTAAACATTCTTATTTTTTTTTTCCAATTTCAATTTGGTTTTTCTTTTCAGAGGATCGAAATATGGACAAAATCTAATTTTTTATATTTATGATAATAATTTATATTATATTTTTATTTTTTTTTTTTTGGGGGGGGGGGGGGTAAACAGCAAGAATAGACGTATCAATGTAAAATTTTCAATGTTCAGGGCTGATTTTATTGCAATTTTTAGAATTACATGTATATTAAGTGTGTTGCATAGTTGATCTTGAATAGAAATGCCTAATTTATAACTATTAAGCACTGAAAGAGTGCAATGAAAATGTTTAAAACGAACAGTGATCAATCATTAATTATTAGTAATCACAGCAAAGCTTAATTAAGTTTATTCATAGACACAATATAATTTTATGTTCTTCTGGAATTTTTTCGTATTTAGTAAAGAATACCAGCATTTCAATTTAATAATAATCCTGCTTATCTTCCAAATGCTGGTTTTACTTTCAGTTGCCAAACAAGACTCTCCGAATGTTTTAGTGTATGTTTTAGCAGCGGTTATTGGAATCCTAATCTTAATTATACTGCTTATAGCAGTACTGGTCAGAAGATCCGGGAGGTAATTAAACTAAAGTTTTCTATTTACAAATTATTAATTAATTATAGATACAGGGAGCATGATCCCTTTACACAACTTTCCGCTTAGTGTACTACCCTCATTCAATGCACTTGCAGCGCAAGCGCTTTGCTTCGAGTCCATCCACTACTAAGATAGAAGTCATACAGACAACTCAGATCAGACCCATCCTATCATGTAAACGCCTGTAATGATAACACCTGTATTAAGTTCTATCACTTTATTATTAACACTTTGAGCACAAAAACACACATTTATTACAATCAACATAATTGGAGATAAAAAGGCCGCAATTTTTTGTGGGGGACGGGGGATACCTACAAATGTACCAAAATAACCATGGGCACATGGGGGGCCGAGTGTAAGCACAAGTGCCCGATCCGAACGGTCACCACGTTCTGGACCAGTGAATGCGGGACTGCCCTTCTCCCTGTCTCCAGCGCCACCTGGTGTACCCACTTACTTTACCAGACTGTGGCCTCCCCCCGCTTGTGCGAGGTGGAGGTGGAACCAGCCATGACAGGCCATGAACCACGGATGTTACCATATAATGTTACTTTAGACAACTTATGTGCTACATGTACTTATGTATTACATACCAAAACGCCCCCCTGCTTTGAGGCAGGGTGGGGAGACAACCAGGTTATGGGGCCACTTGATCCCAACATACACAAAAGTATCCCCCAGTCCCCATCCCCCCATCCCGGAATTGCGACAGTTAAAAAGGGGGGTTAAAGGATAAATTCCCAAACATGATTTTCCCCATTTATAATTGACCAGGCTTCCCCAGTTATAGAAGTGTCTGTGGTAGATAATTTACACTACATGCACTAGAAAGTCTAATGAACTGGTATAAGCGTGTATTCCTTGATGGTCATAGGCTCTGTGCTGCTCACATTTTCCTACACATATGGATGCCTGCTATCCCCATGGGTCCACATTCCAGTTTCCTGCAAGATAAAACAAAACACAGCAGAAAAGAAATCTCTTTAATTTATTATCATTAATGACCTTTCAACTATTAATTACAGGGTGGGTGGGCTGGGAAAAAAGCGTCTGATTTCAACAATTTGCTGGTTTGAAAAGGGGGATAACTTCCGGTGCACCTTTATGATTAATTCGTACGCAGTTTGACTCGTAATACGACTTTGTATATTCCTGATGTAATAACTTGTGTACACTTCGTCCCAACTAACCAAACATTAAAACCCTGTCCTAAATTAATAATTTACTATTTGATATAAAATCAAATAATCTTGATTAATTATAGATACAGGGAGCATGATCCCTTTACACAACTTTCCGCTTATTGTACTACCCTCATTCAATGCACTTGCAGCGCAAGCGCTTTGCTTCGAGTCCATCCACTACTAAGATAGAAGTCATACAGACAACTCAGATCAGACCCATCCTATCATGTAAACGCCTGTAATGATAACACCTGTATTAAGTTCTATCACTTTATTATTAACACTTTGAGCACAAAAACACACATTTATTACAATCAACATAATTGGAGATAAAAAGGCCGCAATTTTTTGTGGGGGACGGGGGATACCTACAAATGTACCAAAATAACCATGGGCACATGGGGGGCCGAGTGTAAGCACAAGTGCCCGATCCGAACGGTCACCACGTTCTGGACCAGTGAATGCGGGACTGCCCTTCTCCCTGTCTCCAGCGCCACCTGGTGTACCCACTTACTTTACCAGACTGTGGCCTCCCCCCGCTTGTGCGAGGTGGAGGTGGAACCAGCCATGACAGGCCATGAACCACGGATGTTACCATATAATGTTACTTTAGACAACTTATGTGCTACATGTACTTATGTATTACATACCAAAACGCCCCCCTGCTTTGAGGCAGGGTGGGGAGACAACCAGGTTATGGGGCCACTTGATCCCAACATGCACAAAAGTATCCCCCAGTCCCCGCCACAGGACATAGACACTATGTCCCCCCACAAAAATTGAGTATTTGTAATAAAACATTGAGTTAATTTGGAGGATATACATTGGTTCGCTTGTTTAAAAACATGTGTAGAGCAGACTGCAGGTTATTAAGGTAAACCTCAAGACCAGTTTTTGACAAGTGGGTACCATCATGCCTGAACAATTGTATTTCCGAGATTTTAATGGTTGAGTCATTATTTATGTAACAGCCATTAACTTCAGTAGTTATAAACTTTTTGATAGACTTGTTAACTTTGAGCCTTTTCTTGTTAATTTTTGCACCTGCTTTGGGAGGGGCACCATGCCAGTACAGCCTAGGTAATATTGAAGAAAAAATTGAGGTGGTACTTAGGAGAAGTGCGTTATAGCGATACAGGCTGCACTGTATTTGATGAATAAGTTTGATGCTTGTTAAATCTGGTGTAGTTAAATCATTAGACCCAAGGTGTATCAATAGAAATTTGGGTGTAGGATACTGAAGTAAATAATCTGAAACTGCCTTGTCTAACTGATCCCAAAGCATACCCCTACGCCCTAACCGAGAAATTGTGGCAGGTAAATTAAGGTTACTTCCCCCTGATCGATAGGTTGCAGCATGCTGACCTGCCCAGAATGGAATTGATGATCCAAGTATCCAAATGGTTGGGGTACCTGAAAAATCTTTGGTAGAGTTAGTAGGTGCTACAATCACAGGGGACAGCTTTACCGTCTCCTAATGTAAGTTAAATATGAAGTTGACCGCCATCTTCCTTTGGCTTTTATTTCAGTATCTGAGAGACCTTGTTTGGCAAGCTCGGTTGCCATGCCAATTCTGAAACTATGTGACCTAAAGTGCCCTGTGACCCCAATGAATTGTAATGCTTTTTGTAAAATGGCTTGAAACTGGTACTTTGTAAGGGGCTTGGAATTTAGATGTGTAAGAAGCTTGTCATTTCTTTGTAACCCCTCTCTTAAAAGCAGAAAATTATTTAAGATTGTGATTGGGCTGATAATGGATTCCGTATGAGAGGCGATATCTACTATAACAGATTGTCCGATTTGGTCCGTTTTAGATCTTTGAATAGTAATTTGGCAAAGGTTTTGATTCTTTATTGTAATGTCTGAGAAATTGAGTGCCAGTGTTTCGCTTACTCTTAACAAACCATAAAATGTAAGAGTAAATGCTGCTGAAAAGAGGGTGGATTCATATCCGGAATTGCAAACATTGGGCAGGGAATGGATAATTTTGTGAAAAAGCTCAAATGAAATAGGGATTCTTTGGTCTTTGTTTATACCTACTGATCAACGCAGCCCTTCCAGGGTTTTAGAAACTATGAAACATTTTGTTGTATCCTGAAAGCCATGTATTTTGTGTATGTATGAGATTGCATTTAGGTACAGTGATACTGTTCTGTATGACATATTATTGAGAGGAAACCAATAAAATTCACGAGCTGTTCCTTGTAATTCACAAGCTGTTTTAGTAAGCAGTGAGAGATCGATAAATTTGCCCTCCCATATTTGGTTTTTAATCTTCTGAGGGATGTGTGAACCTACGGAATCATAACAACTGATCTCTTGTAGTGACTGACTTGAAAAATTTAAATTTGACTCACCGCTTCCACCGGGGATTTCAGGGATGCTTTGATCTATTTGTGATGTCAGCGTAGGTTGTATAGTATCGGATGGCAGAGGAAGAGCTTCTGGGGGAATTCCACCGGCGTCTGTTGCCTCGGCCGGGGCCTGGCGTGTTGGCGTGGGATTTGTCCTGGTAGATATGGCAAAAAATTGGTACTGCGTTTTTAGGTGATACTTTTGTACCCTAGGGTACACCCTTATTAAATGTATGGAGAAAAGGTTACAAAAAGGGTACACTATTTATTCCTACTGAAAATGAAAGTAGATGCTTCCCAGTGGAAGGAAGACTGTAACATCTATATAAGTAAAATTAAAAATAATGTAGCCGATGCTCAGGGTACAGTGGGTACAAAGGGTACACATGGGTACAGCAGGTTAAAACACTATACAAAATAGATACAAGGGTTTAGAAGGCTGAAATTTTCTAAGTAAAAATTTAAAATAATGTAGCCGATGCTCAGGGTACAGTGGGTACAAAGGGTACACGTGGGTACAGCAGGTTACAACACTATACAAAATAGATACAAGGGTTTAGAAGGCTGAAATTTTCTAAGTAAAAATTTTAAAAAATGTAGCCGATGCTCAGGGTACAGTGGGTACAAAGGGTACACATGGGTACAGCAGGTTACAACACTATATGAAATGGATACAAGGGTTTAGAAGGCTGAAATTTTCTAAGTTAAAATTCAAAATAATGAAGCCGATGCTCAGGGTACAGTGGGTACAAAGGGTACACATGGGTACAGCAGGTTACAACACTATATGAAATGGATACAAGGGTTTAGAAGGCTGAAATTTTCTAAGTAAAAATTTAAAATAATGTAGCCGATGCTCAGGGTACAGTGGGTACAAAGGGTACACATGGGTACAGCAGGTTACAACACTATATGAAATGGATACAAGGGTTTAGTAGGCTGAAATTTTCTAAGTAAAAATTGAAAATAATGTAGCCGATGCTCAGGGTACAGTGGGTACAAAGGGTACACATGGGTACAGCAGGTTACAACACTATAAGAAATGGATACAAGGGTTTAGAAGGCTGAAATTCTCTAAGTTAAAATTAAAAATAATTAAGCGGATGCTCAGGGTACAGTGGGTACAAAGGGTACACATGGGTACAGCAGGTTACAACACTATAAGAAATGGATACAAGGGTTTAGAAGGCTGAAATTTTCTAAGTAAAAATTTAAAATAATGTAGCCGATGCTCAGGGTACAGTGGGTACAAAGGGTACACATGGGTACAGCAGGTTACAGCACTATAAGAAATGGATACAAGGGTTTAGAAGGCTGAAATTTTCTAAGTTAAAATTAAAAATAATGGATCTGATGCTCAGGGTACAGTGGGTACAAAGGGTACACATGGGTACAGCAGGTTACAACACTATATGAAATGGATACAAGGGTTTAGAAGGCTG